CATTAGAGGCTCATGGCTTCTGCTACACGGCAGCCCCTCAGAGCTTAGGCAACCCTCACCGCACCAACGAGTGGTTCGGCCGCTTCCACGACGACGACTGGGAGACCTGGAACGCCTACCCGGAGGCACTGAAGCTGACGGGCCATACAGTTGGCATCAAGGACGGGTTTTGATACGGAAATTGATGGCGGCGAGAATCAACTCTGGATCAAGTTTGGTTCGCCCACCATCTGACGCGGAGAACTCTGTTTGCGCGTCGCTTTTTACCCGTAGAGCCGGCGAAGCCGGATCGATTTTGTTTTCCCTCTCACCCTCTCTGTTTCCCTTCCCCGTTGATTGCTTGGTTGATTGATGGGCCAGACAGCTAGATAGATACATAAATAGATAGATAAATTGGATAGATGGATGAAGATAAGATAAGATAAGATCAGATAGATGGATGCAACCGATAGATAGACACATCTGGAAAGATAGATAGATTAAACAACACAGGTAGATAGCTAGGTAGGTAGATAGGTAGGTAGATACGTAGATAGGTAGATAGGCAGATAGGTAGATAGGCAGATAGGTAGATAGGCAGATAGGTAGATAGGCAGATAGGTAGATAATTAGATAGGTAGATAGGTAGATGGGTAGATAGATTAGGTTAATTAGATAGATAGATAGATAGATAAACAGATAGGTAGGTAGGTAGGTAGGTAATAGATAGATAGGCAGGTAGGTTAGATAGATGGAACACAATGGATGGATGGATGGATGGATGGATGGATGGATGGATGGATGGATGGATGGATGGATGGATGGATGGATGGATGGATGGATGGATGGAAGGTAGGTAGGTATGTAAATAGATACATAGATAGACAAATAGATAGATAGATGGATAGAAAGATGGATACATTAGATTGCACTAGCTTAGCCAGATAGGTAGAGAAGACTATAAAGAGAAAGAGAAAAGAGAAAAGAGAAACATGATCTATGCGAGGGGTTTTCGACGGATGGGCATTCAGGGAAGATGGGGAGGAGAGGAGAAAGAGACAGAGAAAGAAAAAGATAAGATACGATAATGAGAAATAGAATGGGAAAGAAGAGAAAGGGAAAGAGAACGATTTAAAGACAGAGACAGGCAAAGAGAGAGAGAGAGAGAGAGAGAAACAGAAGAATGAGTCAATCAGTCAAACAATCAATGAATGAGTCAATCATTTTATCTATTTGTCTATCGAATCTAGCTGTTTGCCTACCTATCTATTGTCTATCTTTCCAGATGTGTCTATCTATCGATTTGTCAATTCATCCATCTATCTGATAGTATCTTATCTTATCCATCCATCCATCCATCCATCCATCCATCCATCCATCCATCCATCCATCCATCCATCCATCCATCCATCTATCTAGATCTAGCCATCTATCTGTCCCTCTACCTACCTATTAATCAGTGCTCCGAGAGCGCTGCGCCTGCACCTTGCGAAAGTGAAAGTACCGCGCCTGCCAGATCTTGACTCTGCGAATGTGCTGCACATCGCACGAAATCTGCACGTGCCAGGTTGCACGTCCGTGCCAACGGGATTGCGACATGCCCGTGTCAGCAATGCAAAAATGCTGTGTCTGTCACGCCACCTACCTCAGGCTGCCAGAGTGCCGTGCCTGCACCCAACAGTGCTGCGCCTGCCTTGCAATCAACCTCAGTTTGCCGAAGTGCTGTGCCTGTCATGCGAAACTGACGCCACACAAAGTGCGCGCGTTCGTGCCAATGGGCCCGGGCATTCATTCTTTCTTCATGCAATTGACACGCTTTGTGGCCACAGCTCCCGTGGGCTTGGCAGAGGACTGCCATGCCAATTGACGACTTCCCGTGACGAGTGTCGGGAGCAACCTAATGATGATGTGTGCGTGACAATTTGCTTGCCCATGATGAAGGTATTTGTTCTGTGGACGCTACACCCTTGCCTTCCTTTTAAGCCAATCAGTGCAGGACAATGGCGTCTTCTGGATGGAGTGGGCCGAGTTTAAGAACGGCTTTCAGGACGTGGGCGTCTGCTTCGACAAGCAGAACCCAGGTGCCCGCTACACGGACGACTCGGTCGCCGCCCTTCGGGAGCATCACCAGGTCTCCTGGGGCATTGTTGGCCACCAGAAGTGGGAGGGCTTCTGAGCGAGCTGAGCTCTCGTAAAGCTGGTTGGGCCAGATGTGTGTGCGTGTCTATGCGCGTGTGTGCGCGTCATGTGTCCGTCCGATGATTTGTGACCAAGGAAACATGTGTACACAGGTGGTTGGCCCAAGTCCTGTCTCGTACAGAGTTGCAGTTTGGTTTTAGTGTTGGTCAGCGGACAAAAAGTTGCTGCATGGCCAACTAGGCAGCTGCAGGCTAGGCAAACCGTTCGCCCGGATGGGCTAGATGGTGCCTTGGCTTCTTGATCTGATCTTGAGCAGCAGGCCTGCACAAGCAGTGTCTTTGCAGGGGTGCTCAAGAATCTTAGCTTCTCGCGCTGAACGTCGAAATGCAGCGTGTTTGGCTGAAGTGCTTGTATCCAGCTCCCTCTAACTCTGAAGGCCGCAGACTGGTTGTGCGATTGCAAGGAACTTTCTAAATCAGACTCAATCGACCGGGCGGCTGAGTGGAATGACAAGGAAACGGTTTTTATGGTCAAAGAGAACAACCAAGCCCCAGATGAATGAAGCCCTTGGCGAACACTTCCGCCTCAATCAACGACCTGCTGCAGATTTCCGTAGCCTCCGCGCCTTTGCCAGAGGAGGCGAGGTGCAGATTAGGCACGGCCATGGGGAACTTGTGTGCCGCCGATGCGCGGCTGCTGGAGAGCCCGAGCCTCGTTGCAAGGTGGGTGTCGGCAAAGGCTCGCTCCAATTGTTTGAGTTGGTAGTTTTGCACAAGTAGCTTGGCTTTGGCATGTGACGCAAGCGCTTGTTGAAAGCACATGGAAGCAATTCCGATTCTCATTCTGGGGTTGAGAGGCAAATGCTGCCGAGACAGCATCCAAACCCGTGTGCTAATCCCCTGAACCTCCCCTGAAGCCAATGGTTGGCCGTTTGTCGTCGATCGGCGTTGGCATTTCGTGCTGCAACATGCTCCTGACCTGAAAGATTGAAGACGGTTGGATTTGCCAACTTCCAGAGATATGATTGGGCAAAGGGCCCGGTCATGGCAGCGCCATGCATGTTTTTTGCACTGAACACTGCCTCTTTTTGCTGGTGCCTCTTTCGATTTTCAAATTCAGATCATGGTGAGCACGGCTCGAATGCCTTGGGAAAGAACTCAGATATAACCCTGGGCGTGGAGCCGTCCAGGCCGATGGTTCCTGTCTCCGCGTGGCCGTTGGGCAATTCGACCAGGAATCCCATGCACCTCAAGCGGCTGCAGCCCCGGCCGGAGGTTCTGCCACTCCTTGAGCTGCACGCTGGCGGCAACGAGTTGCTTCGGTGCCATTTTTGAAGCGTGGCCGAGTGAATCAGTTGAATTCATGTTGAATTCCATTGGTTGCAGTTTGGACCCTGCCCACATGCGCGGGGACCGACTAGGTTTGCTCCTGGTTGACATGTCGATTGTTCGTCAGAAACCCAGCTGGAATTGGGTGAAGCAACATTCTTTGTGACTCTTTTTTCGGTCATGCCAGACGGTGCCACAAGACCGTTCCGAGCCCTCAAGAGGTTTCATCCGCACACTTGCATCAAGGGTGAACCTGGACTTCTACAGACCTGTAGCTAGCAACGCGGCAGTTAATTGAAGCATCCCTTGTCGGGTCAATTGTTTTGAAGGCGGCCCAAGCACTGATTCCCGCAACAGGACGTCTTGCTGCAGGGATTCTTGGAGCCCATCCTTCAGGATTAACTGCAAGCTTTCCTTGCGAATCTAATCAAGGGGTGCAGTCAAATCCCAGGGCATCCTTCTGCGAGAATCGCCAGGCACGACTTCCAGGGCGTGCAGACCAGCTCGGCCCCTGGAAGCCAGCCCTTCGAGGACGCCGAGTTCCCGGCAGATGGCTCTAGCATTGGCGGGGTAACTGGGGATGCGGCCAATCCGAACTGCGCCCAGTACCTGGAGGACAGAGAGGGTCTTCGCAGCGGGATTTTCCGTTGCTGGGTAGAGCGCATGTAGAACGTTTCAACGTAATCTGACTTTGGACATGCCCAGGATGTTCACATGATGAACATTGCTTGACGTGAAGGGCGATGGGGTTGGTTGTGTGAGTGCCGTTTGTCAATGGTTGCATCAGGCCATGTTTTTCCGCATGGTGGGGGTTTGCCACCTCTCGAAGTTCCCCAAGCGCTCTAGCCTTTGGCTTTTTGCGGGGTTGTGTTCGCACGGCGGGAGGAGATGATCAAATTGGTGGTGCCTGGCTGGGTACGACCACGGCAAATGATTGGCAAAGAAGCTGGCCAGCGCCTTGGTGACTTTGGACTGGGTGCAACCCACAGGTGGAGTAGATCGAAATTTGCACATGGCATGCTCACGGCTATGCAGTCACAAGTGTCGAACTTTAACCACGGACATTGGTGGCGGGGGGCGGGGGTTGCGTGACGTGGCCAGACCAGTCATTGACACCAGAGTTGCTTGCTTGCTTTCTGGAGCTGGGACAGGGTGCGCCGAGGTTCCGGCTCTTCGCGACTGAAGGGGAGCCTTGCCTCTTCAAGCACGTGTCTCCCCGGGACATTGAGCAGGGCCATGTGCCCGAAATTAGCCTTCCGCCATGCTGATAGGCCCTGGGCCTGTAGCTTTTACTCTAGGAACGGGCTTTCTTTTCCGGAGGCTCCGGCCATGGTGCGAACACTTCCCCCGCCCAGGCAATTTGGGCAATTGCTGGCTGGTCTCCTCTATGGCAACAGTGGCCGAGCCTTGGCTTGGCCCAAACAAGCGGTATGAAGCCATGGCGAAAAAGAGCAGGCTGCTTTCCGACGCAGTTGAATTCGGCCCAACACCAGGGTGATGTTGGTGCTGTTGTTGCACCAAGTTGATGAGAGGTCAAGGCAGTGAGTGGTGCAAGGAGGGTAAGATGGCTTCACTTGTAAAAATGTGATTTGAACTCCCGCTTAGCTTTGGACAGTTTGGCTTGATCTGCACAGCTCGCGGGTCCTGTCCAATGCTGAGAGGTTGTTTGTTTCTTCGGGTCGTGTTGATTGTTGGGGCAGCTCTTCCTTAGACAGTGTCGGAGACCAATCTTCTTGAGGCTTTTCCTTTCCTGCTCCGTACCTACTTCTAGGGACCTGTTGCACTTGAATCAGTCATGAGACATGCGTTGTGATTGGTTGCTTGGCTTTGGGAAGGGTGTGCGGCGTCAGGCCCAGCAAGCCCGAACTTGCCAGTTCCCACCAGGAGTACCCGGATCGGGTGCGGGCGCTCTTCAAGCAGAACGCCCTCTCGGAGGATGGGCGGTATGACGTGCGGCTCTACGATCCCACCTCGGAGGAGTGGAAGGCCGTGGGGGCCAATGGCCTTGGTGTTGTGCCCCCGGTTGATAAGGAACATTGCGCAACTTTTGGGTAAAGTGCCGACCTGGGAGCCCCGGCGCGCACATGGCCTGTTTGTTGATAGGGCCTTGAGCCAATGGCGGTCGAATGAGGAGGCTCTTGACACATCGGCAGGTCGTGACTATCGACGACCGCCTGCCATACTGGCAGCGTCCAGGCAAGCATGGCAACTTGTGCTTTGCCAAGCCGACCAAGGAGAACGAGTTCTGGCCCTGCTTGCTTGAGTCTCTTGGCAGTTGATCTCTGGGCAAGGCCAGCCTTCCGTATTGAATCTGTCGATCAAACAAAAAAAACGCACCTACACAATTCGTGAAGCGCGTTGGAATTCAGGTAGGCTCATTCAAGGCTTTCATTGTGGCAGGCCACAGCTTGCAATTTGTTTAGGAATTCATGGTGCTTAGTCTGCAAACTTCGACTGAAATGTTGCATGCCGTGGGATTACTTGCATGCTGATGAAGCACACTCTAACCCACAACAGATTGGCAGCGATGCTTTGGAAGTCCATTCAGGGTAAAGGCGTTGAACACCTTTGTTACCTTTGAGGTACTGCACGGGTGAATGGGGTGGGGGAATTGTCCAAGAAGGCAGGTTTTTCTACCAGTGAGAAAGGCAAAAGGGTAAGCATGGTAAGCAAGAAATGCGCAGAGCAAAGTGATCCGAGTTTCCTAGGAAGGCGGTGGCGAAATTTGTGATGTCCTATCATCGTTTAGACGGCGGCTACGAGAACATTGCTCTGGAGATGCTAACCGGAAAGCCGGCGCTGCTGATTGGCGTCAATCCTTTTCCTGAGGCAGGGGAGGGGCCGAGGATAGTTGCAAAGGCCAAGTTTGCAAAGGCCGCCCTTCCCATGACAGGGGGTTTGCAATTTGGCAGCCCTGGCAGCTGAGGCCAGCAGCACAGTATACGCCCACCTCTCCGGCAAGAGCAAGGCAACTGCGCGGCACGCGACAGTTCTGATGCGCAAAGAAGGCCATCGGATCCCAGAAAATCGCGTGTTCCGACCTGCAGGTGCTTCCTTTGCGTACAGCCTGTCGCTGGAGATGGCAGTTCTTTGCCTTCTCCAGACTCTGATGCTCACTCTTTCGGTGGGTTTGCGGGCCAGAAAGGGGACCAACTACCATAGCCGCCATAGCACCATGTTGCGATTCGATGTTTTGCCGATTCACCAGATCCTTGGAGGCTACGACGAGAACTGGGGCCTTTGGGGGCAAGATGCCTCGAGCCTTGTGGGGGGTAAGCACAAGCTCAGCGACGCGGAGCTTTGGGCCAAGCTCAAGGCCTGCGATTTGGAGCGAGCGACCCCCCACCTGCGACCATGGAGGTTCCTTATTACTTGGTCCCGTATCTCCAAGTGAACTACCGCTACTAGCTTTACAGGGGATGGATATTTTTTGGAAACAAAGGGTCCTTCTTGTACTTTGCAGGCCCTTGAAACAAAGGCTAGGCGAAGCCTGAACTAAGTTCAAGCCCGTTTCACCAAAATGATTTTTTGTGATTGTTGGCCCTTTTGAATTATTATATAGATGCGAAGTAACCGGAAGACGACTACCGCAAGATTACCCCAAGACTACTTGAAGACTGCGGGAGGAGAGTACAAGGTTACGTGACTAAAAGCCCTCCAAAACGGACGCGAGTCTTGAAAGCCATATTCCAGTTTGGCGCACAAGGGGTTTGGCTCCGGCTCAAGTTAATGAACGAAGATCACGACTAGCGACCGTAATGTTGGGTACTGGTTGACGCTCGTTGCAAGGGTTCCTTGTAGATGTGATTCTCAGGCCTGTTGCGCATCTCTAGCTGAACAACCGCCCGGAGAGTGGGGCACCAGGCGCTTTCAAAAGCCGGGCTCATTGTATGCCTTGCGCAGTTGCCACATTCAATCCTGCCTTTGTGGGATTCTGCCAGCCGCAGAACGAATGCCACCTTCTTGGGGGAAGCTCTTTTGCAGAAAATCACCGGTAGCACATATATATGTTTATATGTATACATGTTTTTTTCTTGCTTTGGTTCCCCCCCCC